GCGGGAAGCAGGGGAGGGGGCGGAGACTTTGGGGAGAGGGCGGGGTTGGGCGGGGGTGTGGGCGGGGCTGGGGGCGGGTCCGGGGGCCGTGGAGTGTCCTCCATTTGGAGGCACAAAATATGGTAACCCTAAACAAAAGAATAATAAAGGCACCTCAACTTTTCCTCATTTATGTAGGACAGTCTTATAATATGCATCCAGATATCCTCCAATCACACAAGCTGAAAATTGTTCCACTTTACTGTAGTTCTGTAACCATATGGGAACCAATCCTGTCTGTGTTCTGTGCACATCTAAAATTCCTGCTGAATGACCTGCCGTGGGAGCGAGTTACCAGTGACCCAGGGCTGTGGCGGAAGGAGGGTGCAGGTGGGGGGAGGGGAGAGAGCCCAGGGCTGGGGCGACAGGAGGTGTGTGGGGGGTGCAATGGTGGGGAGGAATGAGGGAGCCCAGAGCTGGGGCGGCAGGGTGTATGGGTGGGGGGGAGAACCCAGGGCTGGGACAGAGGGGCAGCCAAAATTTTTTTTGCTTGGGGCAGCAAAAAACCTAGAGCCAGCCCTGCTTGGAGGTCAGATAGGCTTGGAGACTTGGGTGTCTTTCCCTGAGGGTATGAGGGGTGAAAGCCCTGCCAATAGCACATTGGGCTGGGGAGTGTGATTGCCCCAGCACAGCAGACAGCAGACATGCACATTCCCCTCTGGAAAGAGAGATGTGCATGAGGCATCTCCTCTGAAACCCATTTTAAGGTCTGTACAGGGTCTGAGTTTGGTGCAGAGCTGGGGCAACAGGGGCTCAGAGAGAACATTGAGGAATTTGGAGAAATTCCTCCCTTTCTAAGAAAAAAGAACAGGAGTACTTGTGGCACCTTAGACACTAACAAATTTATTAGAGCATAAGCTTTCGTGGGCTACAGCCCACTTCTTCGGATGCATGGATGCAGCCCACGAAAGCTTATGCTCTAATAAATTTGTTAGTCTCTAAGGTGCCACAAGTACTCCTGTTCTTTTTGCGGATACAGACTAACACGGCTGCTACTCTGATCCCTTTCTAAGGTTCACTGAACTAGAACAAAGCAATAAACAACTTGATCTAACTGTGCACAGATGGGAGATTAAACCTAGACACAGGAGCAGTCAATGGACACGACAGAGGGTTTCAAGGTTCCCTCCCCACTCTGAACTTTAGGGTACAGATGTGGGTACCTGCATGAAAGACCGCCTAAGCTTATTTTTACCAGCTTAGGTTAATTTTAAGCTGCCACCACCAAGTCTTCCAAATATTTAGGGAGAGCCACTTGGAACTCTGCCTTTCCCCAAATATCTTTCAAGTCTTTAACCCCCCTTTTCCTGGACAGATTTGAGAATAATTCCCCGCCCCCAAGTCCATACACTCCTTTTCCTGGGTAGGCTCGAGGGAATCCCCTCACCAGTTAGTCCTGGTGAACACAGATCTAAATCCTTGGATCTTAAAACAATGAAAAATCAATCAGGTTCTTAAAAGAAGAATTTTATTAAAAGAAAAGGTAAAATCGGGATGGAAAATAACTTTACAGGGTAATCAGATTCAAAGAGCCCAGAGGAACCCCCTCTAGCCTTAGGTTCAAAGTTACAGGAAACAGAGGTAAACTCTCTAGCAAAAGGAACATTTACAAGTTGAGAAAACAACAATAAAACTAACACGCCTTGCCTGGCTGTTACTTACAAGTTTGAAATATGAGAGACTTGTGTAGAAAGATTTGGAGAACATGGATTGACGTCCGGTCCTCTTAGTCCCAAGAGCAAACACACCCAAAACCAAAGAGCACACAAACAAAAGCCTCCCCCCCCCCCAAAGATTTGAAAGTATCTTGTCCCCTTACTGGTCATTCTGGTCAGGTGTCAGCCAGGTTACCTAAGCTTCTTAACCCTTTATAGCTAAAAGGATTTTGGTGCCTCTGGCCAGGAGGGATTTTATATAGTATTGTATACAGGAGAGTTGTTACCCTTCCCTTTCTAGTTATGACAGAGGGTCCTGTTTGTTCTCCACAGTGGTAAAGAAGGAACTAAGGTGGTTCAGAGGGATGGACACCCCTAGACGTGAGCCTTTGACATTGACACTGGTGACTTGCTCTGTCTCCCTGCCCCTCACATTTCCCCCCTCCTCTCTGTCTCTCTTTCACACACACCTCACAGAGTCATCCTCCCATTTGTCCACACCTCCAAATGGATATTCATTCACTTACACTCCCACCTGAATTTACATGTCATTCTGTCCCTCCACTCTCCTTCAGGGGTCTGTCTATCCCTGCAATGCACCTCCAGTTCATCCACCTACTCACTAGCCAGCTTGTTTACACATTTGCCCAACAGCCCACCTGTCCATCCATCCATCTACTCACTCTCCTGCTCTTCCATCCATCCATCCATCCATCCATCCACTTCTCCATTCAGCCATGCGCCCTCCCATCTGTAATTCCATCCACATTTCCATCCACTTACCATACCACCCATTCACATAAACAATCGCCCTCTTGCCTGTCAGTCTAGTCACCAACATACTCCTCTGGAATGGCAGAGGGAGCAGTCAAGCAGAGGAAATGGGGAAAGTAGGAGAGGGAATGGAGAAGAGTAAAGGGACTGGAAGGAGGGGAGGGAAGATAATAAAAGGGACGGAAAGAAAAAGAAGAGGAAAAGAAACTGAAACTCACCTCGAGATTCTCCAACCCTGAAAGCCCAGCACAGAGCCAGCAGAGCACTGCAGAACTCCTTCATGTTCACGCCAGCCTGCACCCACCAGCTCAGTCCTGCTCCCTGTGCTCTGGGCTGGTCACTGGCCTGGGGTTCTTGCAATCACACTTGTTAACTCCTTCTTTGTCACCTGTTGAATGTGGAAGTCAAGCTCTGATGGTCAGGTGGGAGATACAAAACCTCCCCTCCCTGCACTGAGAAGACTTTTCACTGATCCATCAAGGCCACAAGGGACCATTAGGTCACCTAGTCAGACCTCCTGTAGGACACAGGATGGAAAATAAAATTTACTTTGCAAGACCCATACATTGCAGAGCAAGGTCCCCATCTCCTTACCGGGGCGTTGCTGAATGCCCAGAGAACTGAGAGCCAATTGTGCTCTATTTGACTAACATAAGCATTGTCCCCATTAACCTCATCAGCAAGAAACAGTCCTAGGCTGTGGAAAGAGGGGAATTCAGTCTCCATGTTCATTCATTCCCCGGGCTTCCCCCGAACACACAGCCACACACCCACACTTCCCCCATTGATCCCAAGGCTAACCTGGAGACACACCATCCTACCCTACCTTACCCCATCTCCACCACTTAAATACACCTCTCTCCTCTTGGAGTGAGATGGGTTTCAGTCTTCATGTTCCTTCAGTTCCAGGCTTCTCCCCCATCTGCTTCTCCTCCAGTGAGACCGCAGTTGAGAATCTCTTTGAAGTGATTCCAACTGGCAGTTTGCAGCCAGGGCCCCAGGAATTGCTTTGGGACCCAATCCACAGGCATAATCCCAAAGGAGATTTACCATCTTCTTTTGTGGGATCTAGCATTGAATTCGGTGGTGCAACAACCATAGGCCAAAATCTTCACTGGTGTAACCCAACTGAAGTTAAAGGAGTTGCACCACTGCAGAATGTGCCCCCATATTACTGCTTTCTAAAGGGCATGACAGCCCCACCCCACCTTGGGCACAGCCACAGAACCAAGCCTCTGTGCTCTGGGGATGTCTGTTCTGTGGCTTTTCCCCACTTCGGGGGAGCATGGAGAAGAGGATCCACCCAAAACAACCCCCAGCTTCCTAAATGCCATTTCCTTTGATAGAATATGGCCTGCTAGACAACTGAACATTCACCACAGAGAAGAGATCCCACTGTGACTAATGGCTCCAGAGCTCATGAGCCCTTGTCTGTCCAGGGACAGGCTCTCTCTGCCACGTACCCTTCCCCCAGTAAAGGCAGAGTTTCCTCACCTGAGCCAAGAGCTGCTGGTGGGACAGCCGCCTCACAGCAGGTGGATCACTGACCCTCTCAGTTCTCACTCCCTGGCAGCTGGAGCGTCTTTACACATACAGGAATCAGCAATGACCATGGCTGTCCAAGACTGGAATGGATCCCCATGGGAAATAATGAAATTGGGGTATCCCCTATACCTGTTGTCCTCTGAACTTCAGCTTCCACACCCCTATATGCCTCCTTTCAAGGAGCAGATACAGCCCTGAACGCCGTGGAGCTGAAGTGTGAGACTCGGACTCTGAACTTCCTATTTTTGGTGTTTTCACACCCACCGGGTCCCTGCCACAGATGCAGTTCTTAAAAGCTGAGAGGGGGAGGAAATCTATCCCATTTCATTGTGACCTTTCACTGATTCTTATTAACCGGTTTGGAGGAATCAGGACACGTTGATTTCTAGGAATCAAGAGTAGTACGCTGCTAACAGAGACTGGCCTTTGCTTCCCATCTCCTTGCCCCCATATCCAGTCAGACACTTGCGAAGAAGAGAGAAGGAAAAGGGAAGTAGCGCTAGCAAGAGGAGTTCTGTATTTGTCTCCCGCCCACCCCGCTGTAGCTTACCATAAGACTGTAAGATTTTGGGTGCAGTGACTGCTTTTCACTACATATGTGTGCAGCACCTTGCCCCCTGGGCTCTCAGTGACTTCAATTAGCTTTAGATCAATAGCAACTCACTACCACTTATTTCCCTCCCTTCTAAAATTTGCAGACAGTGTCACCTACTCCTCTTTAGTGTGTGTCCATCTGGGGTGACAACGTCTGCGGCCATTGTCTTCTATCACAGATAAGCACAGTGCCGTTTTCACAAAGTGGTTGCAGCTCCCAGGCCCCCAAATTATACTGATTTTTTCATTTTGCCTTATTTATCTCTATGCTTCTCCAGTCCCCAGTGATTTCGACATCAATTTCTAGCAGTGGAGGGGTTCTTGGTTTTAGTTTCCTGTATAACAAGCTAGCAGCTGGTGACAGCCTATGCTTCAGTGGTGCCATTCTGTGATTAAACAGTTCTAAGTAGGATCAGAGTCTGGCTCTGCAGCCTTTTTCTATAGGCACTTGATTATTTTGACTCACTTTGCCACCGGCCCCTTGGATTGGGGATAATAAGGAGGCAGTCGGCTGCCAAATCCCCCCACTTTATTGCAAACTACTTAAACTCATGTCCACTAAACTTCGCACAAAGCCTTATAATACTGTCAGATACATCCATGTCGAGCAAAAATGGTGTTGAAATGCACAATCACCTGTTTAGCTGTAGTATCTTCTTGTAAGACTGTCTCAGGGATGTTATAATAATAGTCTAGGACAAGTGAATAGTCCCCCCTTCCCGCCTATAGAAACATATCTATGCTTTCCTCATGGGTCCAGCTCTCAGTGTGCATCTCAGTACCAGGGGTCTGCATGGGCAATATACTCCAAGAATGCGAGCTACAGGTAAGTAACCTCTTTCCTGTGTGGAAGCAGGACAGGAAAACAAGATGCAGTCGTGAGTTTATCATGTAAATGTTGGTTATTTCCCCTAGGCACTGTTTGACTTTCCTAGAATCAGTACACTGGAGATGACTTCAAGAAGGGAAACTTGATCTATCCATGCAGCAGGATCAACACAGACTAGAGGTGAGACTGAATTTGGATCACAAAGCTGTCGGGGTGCATAAGCTATTAGCCTACTAGGGACTAAGCCTCCATCTCCAAATTGCAGGGTTCTTACTTTCTGGGCTGTGTTTGGATTTCAGGTTTTCTCTTCTCTGGCATTTGGGTTTCACTTCTACTCCTTCCCTGTCATACCATCTGGATTCTGTAGAAGTGAGTAGCATGCTCAAGGGCCACAGAAAGCAGAAGGAAACTCCTGTTTAGATGTGATTAGATTGCTTTTGTTTACGTGGCTTGGTACGTACTGTACTTCATCCACTCACACCACCCTATCTAAAAGGGGACTTGGGCAATACCGCAAGATTGTGAGAACAGGCTGGGGGTGCATGCAAGCTGATTGCTGATATGGTATCTCTGCTCTGTGAAAGAGAACAGCCTCTGAGGGGAGGTGTCTGATTTGTGTATATGACATACATTTCCACAGCAGATCACATGTAGCAAAAATAGTGCCCTCTTTGTCGTTCTTTTCCTTCCACTTGTCCCAAGGAACTGTCCACAATGCCACCGGAATCTTCCCATGTGCTCTTGTGAAGATCATTCAAGACTTACCCCCAGAGGAGGGCACTATCAATTGGCTGCGCTGCTATTACCAGGATGACACTCTCCACAGCATCAGGTAATGAGATGATGCTTTCATGTGACTGCTGGAGAGATGCCCAGACTCCTGCAGCCCAGTCAGGGATCTGCTCTGATCAAGTGAGATGACAATGTCTTTTCCCTCTTCTAGGGACATATCAGTGGAAGAGGACCTGAGCAGCACCCCATTGTTCAAGGACCTCATGGCATTAATGAGGTACAGCACAGGCAGATGGAGGTGCAGCCGCTACTGGATGCAGAGATTCACTCCCAGGCATATTTCCTGAGTTCCTCCCACTCCTGGCTGCGTTAGGGTCTGTCCAGCCATCCCAGTGTTCTGGGCTTGACATACTCTTCCCTATTACTCTGGAGAGTTGGCAGTTGTCACAACCTGGCCCAGTACCACTCTGTATGGTCCCTAGTCTGTTGTGAATGGACCCAATGACTGGGTTCCATGTGCTTCCAAGCCAAGTGGGCCTGGGCAGAGTCTAATAATTGTTTCTAGCTGTGGGAGTCTAGGACACACTCCCAGGCTTGGGCCTTTTGTCTGACACCCTTGGGATGTGGGGCACCACTGTCCAGCCACCCTAGACCCTTAAACTGGTGTCTGAGACCTGCTGAGCACCCCAGTTATTTAGTCCTGCTCCCCAGATCTCCTCTGAGGCTGTGGGTCACTCAGGGATTCTAGTTTAACCCCTTAGGGGACAATATGGCAGAAAAGCGAGGAACGCAGACTTAGCAGAGGAATTTCTTAACCACAGAGACTTTACTCTTAAAGGACTCAAGAGTTACAGCTCTCTGAAAACAAAAGTCCTGAGACACCTCCTCCCCTGGTGTGTGCTCGCCTCTGCTGGGAGTCTGAGGTTTGTCAGTGTTTCAGGTGGATCAGAGACCTACCTGCTCTCCCCTCCTGCAAGTCCTTTGGTTGTGTGTATGCAGAGATGATTGGCCCTCCTGTACAGAGCAGAATCCTGCTCTTAAATAGATCTCTGTCTCTCTGCCATGTGGGAAACTCCAGTCCCCCTACATTCTTAATCCCAAGACTCAGCTTTTGAAGGAAATCTTTGTTCATGCTGCGAGTCCAAACCAGTTTATTTAGGAGCCTCTTGCAGACAGAGACCTTCTCAGTGCCCAGCTACAGGCTAGCCTCTTCTTGCAGCAGCAGCATTCTGCATACCCCAGCCCCCAGAGGAGTTAAGCGAATTCACTGTGCTCCCACATTAGGCTTAAAGGGACAGCTGCTATGTTGCTTATTATATATGCCTTGATTGCAATCCCTCGAGGTGGGGAGTGGGGAGGTTGTAACTATTTGTGTCACCGGGGGACCGGCTGGGAACTCAGAGCTACTCCTGGAAGCATTGAGGGAAATGTATTGTTCCAGTGTAGAGACTGCGAAGTAGCTTTCCTTCCTCCTCTCTCCAGGCCAAAATATTTTAAGTTCCCTACCATAAAACCAGAGGTCGTCAAGGTTCCTCCTTGAATGCGTTAAATCCCATGGCTTTCTGTAACTCTTACCACTTTTAGGAAATGGGCCCCATGATGACTGATGATAATTTCCATGACGTAATTGCTCAATCAAATTTCACTCCTTCTCTGGCTTCCTCCTTTTTTTAACCAACTTTTGCAGCCTCACATGACATAGCTACCAGCAAATTGCTATTATATCAAACCCTGCTACAGTTCGAGTAGAAGCTAGTCTGAACCTTTAACTCCCTTTTCTCAGTCACTTATAACTTTCTGACATGTTTACTTATGGGGCTGAAATTTCCCAAGCTTGGTCTTTGCCTGAAAGTGAAATTTTTTTTGAAAGCTTCAGCAAAATCTGTTTAGCCATTTTTAGCATGAGGAATTTGGATGGAAGAAAACACTTTTATAAAAATTTTCTTGCAATAATTGGTTTTCAGTTGCAGGGCTGTTAAAAAAAAAATCCTCCAAGAAAGTCATATATTGCTCCTAACAAGGGCTACTTATGTTTCTTAGATTATACAAAAATTATGATATATTTGAAAAATACTGTGCAATCGTATAATTGAAGATGGTACTGTAATGTACTTGCACCAATAGGCAGCATGCAGCTTGCGTGTGTAATTTTAAAGGGATGCCATTAACTTGAAATCTACTCCATTTGTAAAAAAAAACAAAAACAATTAAGAGTGGGTTCAGCGTTAGGTTAGGATTAGGATTGAATCCACCTGCAAATTTTGGTGTTTTTTACAATCACATTTTCCTGGGGTTTTTTAATGGTTTTTTCTCTTGTTGCTGCGTGTAAAACCCACACAAACAGGGGAAACTGATCCACTGACTAATAGCTGGATGAAAATTTTGACGTTTTTCCTGGCAAAAAAATGCAGATTCTGTGACACCAAAATATTTGACACATTTATGTCAATTTCACTGTGGGTGGGGGGGAGGGGTTTAAGAGGGAGAACTTTTAAAAAATCCCCCCAAATCAAAATCAAAATAAAATGTTTTGACAGTTTTGAAACTAAATGCTTTGGGTTTTGTTTGAAACAACTGTTTCCAAATTCCCTCTAATTTTATTTTTAAGAGGGTAGATCAAAATGAAACATTTTGGTCTTGTCAAAAGGCTTCATTTGACTCCAAAACAATTTATTTTTTTCAGCATTACCAATGAACCAAAATATCCCAGCAATTCTGATTATACCGGGGAAACAGTTACCTTAGGTGTTAATTGTAACAATGGGACATATCCTTTCAACTAGAGAATTTCCTGACTTGTGCAGACAACTTTGGAGCTTGCATGTGCCATTAGGCCCTGGTCCAGCAATGCACGTCAGCATGTGCTTAACTGCAAGCATGTGAGTAGTCCCATGGAAACCAGAGGGCTAACTCATGTGCTTAAAGTTAAGCATGTGCTGAAGTGCTTTGCTCAATCAGGGCCTATATGTAGCTTTTTGTATGGGATTTGTATATATTAATTATACAGTGCCATCAGTGTGCTAGGTGCTGCTGGACAGACA